TCTCGTCATCTGAGCGCCTGGACATCCTGCGGGACTTCACACACTATGGTCTGGAGCACTGGGGCTCGGACACGCAGGGCGTGGAGAAGACCCGCCGCTTCCTCCTCGAATGGCTCTCCTTCCTGTGCAGGTGGGCACGGGGCGGATGGGGTGGGGGTGCTGGTGGCGGGCCAGCCTGGTCCAACACTGTCCCCCACCTGCCCATAGGTATGTGCCAGTGGGCCTGCTGGAACGGCTCCCACAGAGGATCAACGAGCGGCCCCCCTACTACCTGGGCCGAGACTACCTGGAGACGCTCATGGCCAGCCAGAAGGCCGCCGACTGGATCTGCATCAGGTGCCCGGGAACCAAGGCACTGGGGGCGGGGCGTTCTGGGTGGGGTGGCCCGGGACTCAGGCCTGACTCTGCCCCCTGCCCACCCCCTCCACACACAGTGAGATGCTGCTGGGACCTGTGCCGCCCAATTTCGTCTTCCTGCCGAAACACAAGGCCAATGCGTACAAGTAGCCACGGAGGCAGGAGGGGTTTCCGGGGGGAGGGGGTGGAGGTGCGGGGAGGCCCTAGTGTTTGAGAAGATAATAAATTTTATTCTTTTAAAACCCAGGCCTTTCTGTGACTCTGAGGCTGCCCCTTCCCATTCCTGGGAGCTTTCCCTGTACACCCTGTCCCTTCCTCCATTCTTATTCATATTGGGCGTTTCCTGGACACCCCCAAGGTCGTAGCCCCATGTTGACCACCGTTGGTGCCCAGAGAGGCCTTGACCACAAAGAAGCCACCAGGGCTCATGAGGGGGCGTGGTCCTCGCCTGCATGGGTGTGGTTCAGGGCAGACTGCCTGGAGGAAGGGGCCTCAGAGCTGTCAGGTGGGCGTTGCTGGCAAAGGCAGAAGGCAGCAGATTAGGCCTAGGGTCCACCCTACCCTTTGTGCCATCTGTCTTTGGCTGCCTTGGTTTTCCATTCCATCTCTGCCCACTCCCCACCCCCGGAACCCTGACAAGTGGATGGGCTGGAACCTGCTACCCAGGGTAACCAGGCAAACAGAACTCTGGGACTCTGAGCCTGTTCTCCAGATAGACTGCCTATACTCCCACCGGCTGCTCTCCTGGCCTGCCTGGGCTGGGCCCCCCACCTCCCCATGCAGCACCCCAAACCGTTCTACACTCCTACAGTTCCCCCAGAAGGCTTCAGCCCCCGGGGCCTGGATGGCACCAAGGGGCCGGGCAGCCAGCCCGCTCCCGTCTGCATGGAGCCTCTTCCCACTGTGGGTACGCGTCGGGGAGTGGGGGGTGAGGGGCCAGGACCAGGGCTCTGCCCACCGTCCTCAGGACTCCACCTATCCACCTGCCTTTGTTCACAGGTTCCTCCAACCTGTACCACCCCCCAAACCCAGAGAAAGAGGTGTTTCCAGCCCCTCCGGCAGGTACCAGCCTCTTCCCAACCCTTGATCAGGACTTGGGAGTTGGTTGGAGTGGGCAGGGCCATCTTGCCTCCATCCCATCCCTCAACAGCCCCTGAAAGCAAGGCTTGTGTCCCTGTCCCCCAAAGGGGCCTGTGTCCCCTTCTAAATAAGGCCTGGGCTCTTGTCCCCTAGACAGTTCCCCCAAAGCCAGGCCTGTGTCCCTGGGCTCCCATGGTTTGGGCTGTGTCCTCGCCACCACCATATCCCACACTGCCTCCCCCAGGCAGGTGGGTCCTAGCCATGCCCCTCTCAGGGCTGCCCCTCCCTGGCCCACAGGTTTCCAGATGGCACCTTGTGGCTGCTTCTTTGACCCCCGCATTTACCGAATTGAGTGGGTCACCACCGACTTCGGCCAGTCGTCCCTGTACAAACCGGCAGCAGCTGGCGGCGGGGGGACAGCAGGGAGCCCCGCCTCGGCAGGCACCTACCTCCTAGAGCCCCAGCACTACCTCAAGGCCTCGGTGCCACCCCCACTGCCCCCGCCATACCCTCACCTCCAGCCAGCACCTGGGGGCCCCCAGTACCTCATGCCCTGCTTCCCGCCCGAGGGGCCTGGGCCTGAGGCCCTGGGCTTTGTGGGGAATGGAGGGGCTCCCGCCTTGGTGGAGCTGCCCCCATCCCTGCTCAAGGAAGGCCTGGTGCCCCCGCCACCACCGCTGCCCCCTAAGGAGAACAAGCTGCCCTTTCTGCACGTTACGTTGTCCACTGAGGATGCACTGTGCCCTGGTGCCTATGACCACCTTAAGGGCTGCCTGAGCCAGCTGCACGGGCTGGGGGAACCCCTGGTCTTCCCCGCCAAGGAGCTGCAGGGCGGTGGCACCGTTCCGGACCCTGGGGAACCCAAGGCGGCGGAGGCAGAGACAGCCATGCTGGGGGCGGGCGAGGCTAGACACCCTGAGATGGCCAGGCCCTTCATGTTGCCCGAGAAGGTGCTGCTGGAGGATGCCATGAAGCTATTCGACTGCCTGCCAGGGGGCGCCGAGCCCGAGGGGCCCCCATGCAAGGCCCCCGGGCCGGCCCTGTCCAATAACCGGGGTGGTGGGGACGACTCAGGCGACATCCGCTCGCTGCGCCTGCCAGACGAGCTGCTGTCCTTCGACTACAGCGTGCCCGAGATCCTGGACACTGTGTCCCATGTGGACTACCTTTTCAACTTCAAGGCGCTGGATGAGGAGCCGCCGCCCTGCCTAGGGCCCCCCGCCACCACCACCACCACCACCACGATCGCTCGGGCCGAGCCCGGGAGAAAGAGAAAGGCTAGTGCCTCAGCCACCAAGAAAGGGAGGCAGGGAGGCAAGAGCAAGCAGGCCCCGGGCCTGGCCAGCGCCACCCCTTCGGGGCCCAGGCAGGACCTGGAAGCCATCCCCCATTAAAGCGGATTTGACCTCAGCTCATTGTCCACTCAGTGGCATTGGGGAGCAGTGGGCTGGGGACAGACTCACCTGCTGCAGGACCCCAGTGCTTCCTGGCTGCCAGGCTTCCAGACCCAGCCTGGGAGCCCTCCACTCACAGGGAATTCTAAATCCCGGGTGTCCTAGCCCTGGAAAATCAGTCTGCCAGCAGGGAAGGGAGCTTTTGGAAAGTGGGGAGACACCACCCAGAGTTCTGCACTGGAAGGATTTTCACCTCCGTATTTGGTGAGGAAAGTCAAGGCTGCCCAGAGACCAGCAGGACCTTCCCTGGAGACCTACAGCAAGCAGGGAGTGGCTCCACCTCCACCATACCTGTTGAAACCACCACTGGTTGAGGGAGGGCGAGGCCTTTGAGGGGCCTGTGGCCAGGGCCCTGCCTCAGCCCAGCTGCCCCTTAGTGGGGAGGGGGGGGGCTTAGTAGGGAGAAGTTGCCGTGGTGAATAGGAAAGACTCCATGTGGATTCAAGCGGGGGG